CTAGGGAGGGAGGGGGATGGGACTCTCCCAGCCACACCAACTGCTGGCTCTGAGTCTTCTGAATGGGCCTTACCATGCCTAGGTAAGTTCAGGGCTAGGACTATGAACAGAGACCTTGACCCTAGCAGTAAGGTGTGGGTGTCAGCAGAGACTCATAGACTGGCTGACCCATTTATCTCTTAGTCCTTTGTTTATTTTCACTTGGACCCATAGTAAAGGTTACTTGGCTACTGTATTCCTCATTCATTCAAGCAATGTTTATATACTGGTCATCTGCTCTGGCCAGGTTCTCTGCTCTATTCTGAGCAGACTAGTGACACTGAGACCATGGCTCTCACCTCACAAGCCTCTCTCCATCTAGTGGGGTTGGCAGATGAGCCAACAAACAAGAAGAGCACAATGTGGCCAGGGCGATGATCGTGCCTGCATAGGCCAACACTAGAGTCCATTGGAAAGAGCCCAGTGGGGGTGCCAGTCTTGCAGAGGCATCTTCCTAGATGTGATCAGAAGCATGTTACAAGAAAAATTCATCCCTCCTTCCTCTCTTCTCTATCTCCTTCATCAGGCACTGTCTTCTCAAACACAGAACTTACTTGGGGAGGAGGAGCCTGTATATCAGGGCCAAGCTCAGGAAATTCTGGGCTCCTTACCAAGGCTGATTTGATTTAAGTCCCACAGCTGGGACGAGGAAGTGAGCCCAAACACTCGGACAGGTAACTGGTGATTAAAATACCATCTATCTTTAAGGACCAGCTCTGACACAGGCTTGAAACTAGCAGAATAGAAATGAGCCTTGGGGAAAACAAAAACAAAACCAAAAACAAAAACAAAACCAAAAACAAACCAAAACCAAAACCCAAACAAAACCAAAAAAACCCAGCTAGCCAATTTCACTTGGGGCCCAGGAAATTTCTCCAGGTAGACAGCAAAATGGAAAATGGAGCCCCCAGTGGTGCCTAGGCAGCTTTTCTCTCTGGGGTGAGGGAGTCTTTTCCTTCAGTGAAGTATATGTGAAGGCCTGAGGTCCTTCCAGGAGAAAAGAGTTCTCTTCTAATGACAGAGAGACTGAAGATTTGATTCCACAAGGGAGGGAGAATGACAAGCATGGCTCACTGAGGAGTGACTACCCCAGGACCCAGGAAATCCAGCCCAGGAAAGGACAGCAGTGCCCTACAGCTCAGGATCTAGGGAGAAACAGCATCACCAGGGAAACTCGGCACCAAAGGAAAGACATTTTCATTTCCTCCCAAAGAGGACAGTTATAAGACAGGGAAAAATCAGGGAAACCACTAGTGGAGAGGGTTGCTTTGCTTTTAAAAATTATTTGATAAATATTAGGAGTAAAATTATGCTACACCAAAATTCATGGCAGGGAAAGGAGGAACAGCTCTCTGTGGGCTTTCTGGACTCCTTTACCCTAAAATGTCCTATTTTTTCTACCTAGAGTAAAAATATGCACTCGTGCACCCTCCCTCTTTCTGTCCTCCATGACTCACTTTGTTCCAGTTTCATAAAGCCATCGTGAGGAGCAGAGTTTGGTGACCCTCAGGAGTCACGTGCACACCTCTGCAGCTGCCTGCTCTGTAGACTGTCCTGCCAGTTTATTTGGCTGGCAGGACTGTGAATGCCATCTACTTCTTGGGCCAGTGCTACAGTTTGCAGGACAACTCAAGGGTAGCACTACTGGAAGCACTTTCATTTGGAAACCCCGGAGAGATCAGGGCACACCAAATCCCTCTGAGGCCAGCTCTCTCACTCTCTTCTGTTATCACTGTGCTGGTTTTACAAATGAACAGAGAGAAGCCCAAAAACATGAAGACAAGAGCAAGCCCTGCAGGCCAGTGGTGCCAGACTGCACTAGCATCACTGAATATTTGCTGATTGCAAAGCAAAGTGATGGGCTCAGCCTGGAGTGTAGAGCAGATCAATCCCTTTCTTCCCCAAGTTCAGACTGAACTTTTCCAGAGCATATTTCTGAGAGAATAAGGACAAAGTAGACAACGAAGGAATTATTTAGAACATGTAGGATTTGCCTTTAAAGTAATGGTACTTATCTATCCTTATCCTAGAGTGATGGGAAGAGTAATCAATTTGGAGGCAAAAAGTCTGAGTTCAACTCTCCCCGTTGCCATTGACTAGCTAGCTGTGTAACTTTGGGAAGGCTGGTTACCCTCTCTGGTCCTCATCAGTAAAGGGGCGACAAAGCATCAAAGCTTGTTGAGGATAAAGTGAGGTAGGGGATGTGGTACTGGGGAGAAACGGTGTGGGCTTTCCATCATCACACCCTCCATGCAGATTTTTAGATGAATGTTTGGGGGTCTGCCTTCAGAACTGGCCAGCCAGAACTGGCCTTTATCATCTAAGGGTGGCTTTTGTTCCCAGTAACTCAAAAGCTTTCTAGGGAATAAGGAGAAGGATAGTTAAACCAGGAAAACCCTGATTTGGATATAAAGGGAGATGATATCCATAAACTCTCCAAGGGTCACCTTTTGGGTTAACAGCAGCTGTGAGAGAATGGAGAAAGCCTCTCGAGGGGACTACTTTCGAGGGATATATTTCCCTGACGGTGGAAATTTTGGTTCTTTTGATTAAAAATAGCCCTAGCATGATAACATCGCTTGGCTAAAAGAGCATCTGTGTAAATGCCTGGTAGGTTATGCCCTGTGAGTCTCCACTATTTGTTCACTGAGGCTGTTGGGGAGTCAGTGGTAACTAGGGCCACTTCCAGCTCTGCTCCATTTATGTTCCGTTCCAGTTTGACTCTGCTTCTGGGAGTAGGAGTATGATGGCATGAACCTGCTAAGTAGCAACCATAGCAGGATACTGGGAATCACAGCCAATCCATATAAGGCCCTACTCTTCCCCTGAGGGAAGGACTGTTATCATCACCATTTTACAGATGAGGAAAATGAGCACAGAGAGGTGATGTTCTCAGTGTCACACAATAGCTGGCAAGTGGTAGAGCCTGGATGCAAACTCAGGGAGCCTGGCTCCAGAGTTCATGATTTGCTCTATTGGTGGAACCTTATCAGGCAAGTCTTCCAGAATGGTTTTGTTCAATAGAAGGAATGAGAGCATGGATTACCCAGGCCAGAATTTCTCTCTGAGTACTGCCAAGTGGCTCTGGAAATCACAAGGGAGCTGTAGTGTACTGAGTGGTGTACCTTCAAAAGAGATGTCCACCCAGAACCTATGATCTTTTTGCAAAAGAGGCCTTTGCAGATGTAACTAAGAATCTCAAGATGAGATCATCCTGGATTTAGAGAGAGTCCTAAATCTAATGATAGGTATATTTACAAGAGACACATGAGGAGAAGATACATAGAGGAGAAGACATTGTAAAAATGGAGGCAAGAACTGGAGCAATGTGGCTACAAGCCAAGGATGCCATGAATTGCTGACCATCCCCAAAAGCTAAGAGAAAACCACAGAACAGAGCCATCAGAAAGGGCATGACCAAACTGACACCTTAATTTTGGACTTCTGTCTCCACCATGTGAGGGAATACATTTCTGTCTTTTGCAGCCACCCAGTTTGCAGTACTTTATGTCACAGCCCTGGGAAACTATTAGGTCGTTGGGAAAGTCATGCTGTATTTTTCTATGCAAAAATGTGTCATAACTTTCCCAACAACCCAGTACTACAGGGGATAACTCCAGGAGGAATTTTGATGCATGACTGTTCTTCGGAAGAACTTGGGGGCCAAAGTTGGCATGGAGGTAAATACCACCCACCCTTTGGAAGTGTCAGGTACAGTGGCCATAGGTGAAATTGGCTACTTCTAGGCCCAAAGCCCTCCTCACTCAGAGGCTTCCAGCCCAGTAATCAGAGGCCATGATGAGTGGCAGAAGCATCTGCCTGCTGAGCTGCTCAAGAGGGGCCTTGGCTCCCAGTGGTATCCAGGAAACCCCAAGAGTGGCGAGTCATAATGGCCCTCAAGAGGGCTCGTGCATTTGGCTTAATTTACCTCTCGGCTTGCTCCAGCTGTATTTCATCCCTTCTAGCATATTTTGCTTTATACCTGATAAAATGGGACAGAGAGGGAGTGAGGACAGGAGAGAGTGCTTTTGTTTGTTTGTTGAGCATTTTGGCATTATCAGCATTAGCAATGCTCTTACCTAGAGACATATTTGGTGCAAGGGTCTTTGATTGATGCTCTCAAGACTTTAAGGCAGCAGAAAATTTGGTTCTGCACTCAGTTTAGTCCTCTTTCCCAGACTTCATGATTCTGATTCAAAGGCTCAGATAATGGGAGATGGGGTGGGGTTTGAAATGACCAAACAATGGCAGAAAGGTCAGGGACTTGAAGCCCAGACGTCTGGGACTCAGGTGCTTCATCCTGGAAGTGCATGCAGAGCTCAGGAGGCCCGAAGCTCTTAGTTACCACTTGAGAGAACAGGTCCAGAGAGAGGCAGGGACTGACTTCAGGCTGTGTGCTTTGTTGACTATCAAGCTGAGACTGGAAAGTGGGATTCTTCCAGCCCACATGGCCAGGCAGGCTCAGATCCCCTCCTTGGTCATCCTGAAAAGCTAGGGGCTGGGGAGACCTGCTGAGTTCTGTTTCCAGTTGTGAGTTTTCTGTCTCTTTTCAGAACCTGAAGCCTAGTATTCTGCTGTCCCTGGGGCACTACAAGTATGTTCTATTAGTTTTTTTGTTTGTTTGTTTGTTTGTTTGGTCTTGCCTGCTCTCCTATCTAGACCACAAGGCTCCAGGTCAGTGCCTAAGCCTCTTGTGCCTCTATTCTCCCTCTTCCGCCCAGGGCCCAGCCAGGCTTTGGCGTGGAATATGAGCTCAGGACATGCTTATTGAATGAATGAATGAAAGAAAATAGATATGGCAACAATAAAAGTGCAAAATGTATACTAGGAGTGAATCAGAATAGACTCATTTTTACATTAAATTACATTAGACTTATATTAGAATTTCAGATTTTAGCAGAGAAAAAAATTACAGGCAAATTTACGCTTTCTCAATCCTCAGTGATAGCTAACTCACAAAGATTTAAAGGAGAAAGAAATCTACTGTTGGCACTCTGTTTTTCTCTTGTTCTCTTGTGCTGCTTGACAGAGATGTGAGACTACCCATGCTTCAGAAATTCTGTAACATCAAGCCTCTTACACAAATCCACAAAATTAATTCCCAACGTTTTCCTTCTCTCTTCTTTGCTGTTTCATTGTGTGCTTAATGCCTTCTTTTACCATATCTGAACCGTAAATCTCCTCACACGGCCCAAGCCCCACATGTGGCTACCTTTGCTGGCTCCACGGGTGCATGGCCTTGGCCAGCTCTGCAGAGCATGGCATAACCAGGGCCCAGTGTTGATCTGGACTCCTGGGCCTGACAGCCCTGAGTGTGGAGGCCCCAGGGAGGAGAAGGCAGTGGCCATTAGGGGAGTGCCTCACGAAAGGGTTGCTCTCAAGTAGGGAGCCAGAGGAGAGACTCCACATCCCCATTGCTGCATTTACTGGCCAAGCAATCTTGGCAAGTTACTCAATGTCTCTGTGCCTCAGTTTTATTCTCTCTAAGCCTAAGGCAGTAGTGTCCTACTGTCCAGGAGTCTGATCCCTGAGCACACTTGACATAAGCCCTGGCCATGAGGGGCACCTCTATGCATTCCCTGTGATGCAGACAGAGTGATGTTTGGGATGGTCACCAGGATGAGAATAGTGACAGCTTTTTATTGAGCACCTTTTCTGTGGCAAGCAGGATTAGTACCCTCCTCTAACCCTTGAGGAAACTGAGGCTCTAAGAAGTAAGATGACTTGCTCAAGGTCACACAGTCATATCCTAGGTCTGTCATGAAGACCCAGTGACATAACAGTGGCCACGAAAGTCAGGTCTCCCACTCTTCCTTACTTGCTCCTGTCTCTTCCAGCCCACTCAGCTGACCTCACAGCTCACTGGCACCTAAGGGAAGAATTCCTGAGAGGGGATCTCCTCAGACAGTCAGTGACCCACGTGGACCACCTGCTGACAGGATGGCTTGGCTGGACTGTAAGCTGGGTTTGTTAGAAGAAGGGACAAATTGCACCTTACACACCTTTGGCATCGTACTTACTGAAAGCCTCCAGGAAGCAGTTTATTGCATCCTTCCCCATCCTACTGGCCTCCTGGGGGAAAGGGGTGAGGCATTTTCTAGAGCCATCTGGACAAGAGAGGGAGGAACACAGCCCTTGGGGGGGGGGTTCTGTGACTTCCAGGTTCCTATTAGAATATGAACGCACTTTCCAAAACCACACCAAGAGTTATCTGGCACTGAAGGGGGAGGGGGGCTCCTTTAAAGAGATAAATCAGGGCAAGTTGAAATTGGGAGAGGAAGGTCTACCAGGAGGAAGGCCACGCTATCAAGTTAATTAGAGAGAAACCTCCTCCTGTGAAAGCAGAGGGGAAAGGACTCCACTGCCTAGTCCCTTCTCGTATGTGCCATGCTTTGAGGTGAGTCTGAACAGGACCTAGTATCCTCCTGACTCTGACAGTCCTGATTGCCTCTCTACTGAGATGTTTGTTCTCTAACCTCCTATTCTCAGTTTCCTCACTTTCTAAGTATTCTCAATCCACTGCTTGCATTTCCTAATACGCTTGTTTTTGCAGCTCCCCAGAGGTGAAGGAACACAAGGAGAAACCCTTGCCTTGGGATAATCCTATAGAGCTAGGTATGATAACTAGGACTATCCTATGTGCCTTTGTCCTGCTGCTCTGACCTATGGTGAGCCAGTTTCTCTTTCAGGGCACTGTCGACTATATCATGACTGTCTCCTACCCTCACCATACCACCTCCCACCACTCCTGCTGTTCTTTCCTCTGGTCTATATAGTTGGTGCATTCTGCACTGCACGCATAAATGTTTGGGTCCTTACATCTCAGATCCCCTTACCCAGCTGGCTGACTCAGTGCAGGCCTGGCAGGAGTGAGGGGTGCAGATATTCAACTAGGCTCCTCCTGCTTCCCACCTGAGAGGAAATTCTCTAGATAAGAGATTCTTAATCTTTGGCGGGTCATGTAACTTCTTTGAGATGCCCATGAAAATCATGGGATCTACTCCCCCAAAGAGCACTCATGCACACATTCCTACTGCAGATTATCTCTGGCGGTTCTTGGTGCTCCTGAAGCCCTCCTCAGGGAAGGAAAGCTGCCTTTCTGGGCACCAGTCATTGTAGGTACCTTTCAAATGCATTGTCTCATTGAATGAACCCTCTTAGCTTCACCAAAAGGAGACCTTACACAGCCTGGCCTAAATCACACAGCTGGCAAAGAAAAGGCTGGCCCTCCATTCTCTAAATCCTTGCTTGTCCCAGTCCTCACCTCAGAAACTGGGAAGTTTTAGGTGTGAGCCTTGCAGATGAAGGAGTATCTACAACAGGGTATCTATCAGTGACACTCCAGTTATCTCCATAGA